AATACCCCGCGGGGTGCCCCGTCGGGGCCCCGTTTTCGGAGTGATCTGACAATATGCAACAAAATTTTACGTTTTACGTTTTCCGACAGCGAGCAGAGGTTTCTCAGGTATTTACAACGTACGAATGTAACTCACTGTAGTTTGTAGTGTAGCGCCACCCGCACGCGACTGTTTTTGTTTACATATCATGATAACAGTTTACTTCAATAAATGAATGTATCATATGTAGATATATCATGTAGAAATGACAATTGTGATTAAGATTTTCGGTAAGCGGGGACTTTGCCGGCACGATGCCGCTAATCATTTTAATTATCAAAATAGTCGTATAGATTTACATTAGTCAGTGATATAATCGGGATACATTTAATTTCAACTTTAATTTTGTAAAGTTTAATTTGATACAAACCTTATCCGCCCGTAGTCTTCATTGCCGAGATAGTACGTTCCACCCAGTGTGTTGGTCTTACCTTTCGTAGACGTCGGCGCTGATGAGATTGTGACTTCACTTGAAAAGACGGGTAGCATTATAGCATACGTATACTAGTACTTTAGCCTGGGTTCCATCCTTGTTAGTTTACGTCCGCTCCTACAGTCGCTACCATCAAGTAGCGACTGTAGGAGCGGACGTAAACTAACCAGGATGGAACCCAGGCTAACTAGTACTTGGGTTTTGCCCTGGATTTTTCAGCTGGCTGGCGCGGTGGCCGCGTCTGGTCTGAACGAACCGGGGTGCGTAATTTATTATATGTGCGTAGTTTATTACAGAAAATACATCAGAAAATATCAAGGATTATGCCCTTGAAAACTACATACATGTTTCAAGAAGAATCAGAAATTATATTTTCCGGCACGAAAACAGAGGGGGAGGGGGGCGCATGTACAAACTTGAAGGGCGGCCGACGTGAAGTAAATTACGTCGCAAGCTACATCATGTAAGGTTTTGCGTTTTTATTGACACTACAGTCACATTTGTATGTTGTTACCCGAGAAACCTCTGCTCGCTGTCGGAAAACGTAAAATTTTGTTGCATATTGTCAGATCACTCCGAAAACGGGGCCCCGACGGGGCACCCCGCGGGGTATTGACGGGGCCCCCGTTACCCGTATAATGTTACTTGTTCACATGAAACCGCCTGAACCGCGATTCAGGTAACTCGCATTCCTCACATCTGGTCCACGTGCCACACATTCCTTTCAAAGCGTGCCCGATCACGATTCTCTAAAACTGCATTCATTGTTGTTTGATGAAAACACGCTAGGTAGCGTGTCAGAGGTCAACGACCTGCGTGCTGGTGCCCCCCTTCCAGCGTACCTCGGCCGAATGCCGACGTGGTCCTTCCAGAGCTCGAGGCGGTGAAGCTCGTCCTAGAATAGACACATTATTTCGGTCATAACTGCTCTTTAAATTAAGTTGCTGCGCCTAAATTGTAGTATTGCATATAAATAAAGAAATATCACCCCGAGGTACACTGGGCAAGCAGGTCGTTGACCTCTGACATTTATAACACGCTACCTTGCGTGTTTTCATCAAACAACAACTAATGTAGATAAGAAGAATCATGATCGGGCACGGTTTGAAAGAAATGTGTGGCATATGTGGACCAGATGGGGTGGAATCTGGATCTGGTTACACCGTCTATGACACTTGAGGCTTGTCTAGTGCAGAAGATCATTGGAAGTCATCTGTACCAGTGCAGGTACACAGAAAGAAGCTTCAAGCACTAGTAACACTAACATTATTGCTGGAATAAACGAATGCATGAACGAATGAATGAATGAATGAGCTAAGGAGGGGTGCTGTGTTAAGCGCAAATATCAGCAACACTTCTTGTCTATGTCACTTTACAGATGTTCGTCAGTACTTCTTTTACGTCAAAGAAAATGTGAGCACAAATTGGAAAGACCTGGCCTTCCATCTAGGGATTGGGAAGCCAGATATTAACAACATTGCTCACAAACATCATGATGACAAGTCTCGCTGTATGGACCTGTTGGAGGAGTGGCTCAGCCATAATGGAGAGAGAGCCACCATAGAGGTCCTGGTGGACGCTCTGTTAAAGGCCCATCTGCAGAATGTCGTGGATGGTCTGAAAAATGAATTTGGTGGTAAGATATCGTGTTCGTTGTGCCATGTTGTAATGGTATGCAAAGCTGAAATTATATTAAAGGCAATTAATGGTTATTTCGTCCCTTTTGTTTAGAGCTATATGATGTTTTGACCCAAAAGAATTTTCACCAGCTTTTCTTTTCATCCAACGTCAACTATTACACCCATGTTTGATCATCTATTTGAAGGATGTTAAACATTACTGAACTTTTAGAAATACAAGCTTAATAGCGCATTGATAATTAAATCACTGAGAAATGGGAAAGGTGCGTGATTTGATGCTTTTCGCTTTTGATGCAACCTATGCCACTATCACTGCTGCTTCAGTAGTCGTTGTAACTATTACGCTAAAATGGTCCATAATGTTTTATCTTGGAATATACCTGAATTATGAAATTTGCCATCAATTTGTTTATCTATCAAGCTTCTCACATGGAAAAAATTGTGAAATATCCGGATATCCATGCCTTCTTCACTTCACATCCTCTACAACATATAGTTCAAACCTTCTTAGCAAATGTAAAAAAAATGGTCTGACTTCTAACCTCCTTTGTTTCCTGACAGCGCTTCCTGTGCGTGTCAACCTGAGTCAGAAGCAACACCAACAGGAACAGATCGCGGAACGGGTTCAAAGTCGTATCCTGGAATTCGAGGAACGACTAATAACTGTTGACGTTTTGAGGGATCCAGACCGCCTCCGGAAAGCACGGCAACTATTGAGGGAACATAAGGCTTTCTTGATAGACCTTTCAAGTGGATCTGTCATCCTCTTCCTGATGTTCCAGTGTCAAAAAGACCTGGATGGTTTCTACCACAACCATGACAAGGTTGGGGAGGGAACTCTGTCTCACAAACTCTCTAGCATCCTCATCCCAAGCAACATTCAGGAGGAGTTCAAAGCAACATTCGGGAGCAACATTCAGGAGGGTACCCAACTGATTGTGAGGCTTCAGGTGAAGCGCGAAGACTATGAGGGAGTCCGAGATAAACTGGAAAAAGGTAAGAGTCAAATCGCACAATTTCACGTCTCTTGTGTTTGTGGGTTTGTACATGGCTTGATACAGTGACGTCTAAGAGATCTTGTTTGCGATAGATCTTGTTTATGCTTGTGTCAGACGTGTCCCATTTGCAAAGCTGCCCCCTGTGGCTTTCTTGAATTCACTTTCAACATAACGACATCCTCAGATGGCCCTGCTGAGAGACCAGGGACACCCCAGCGTGATCATCGGCGTTCACAGCGCAGGTAGGCTGTTCTCTGTTTTTTCCCCGAGTAAAATTATGTCATATTGCAACAAATAGTTCACTAACATGACATGATGTCGGGGTTTTGGGGACTGTGCATGCTTATGTCAACTACATCCAAACCATTGTATAGAATCTGGCAATTTCAAAGTGTTTTTGATGAAAGCTTATTGGAGATCGAGAAATACCTCCGAGTCAGCGTTGTTGAACTACAGTATTACATGTACTTTTGCGGTGGTTTTATTTCGTGGTATGAGTTCTAAATTCTGGTTATTTGTCGTCTTTCCTGATTCTTTCTGCGGGTAGAAAGGGCAAAAGGTTCAGGCGATAGTTATGTTAACCTTCCAGTTCACCGTACAGGTAACGGTGGTAACGGTGACAACACAAGCCCAGTCGTCTTCACTTTATTGATTTTATCCGGGAATGGACGACACGTACTAGTACGATTTTCTGCAAAAACAAGAAAGATCTAAGTTTGTGTGACAATGAGAAAAAATTATGATCGGAATGGTTAACATCATTCGTTACAGACCCGGCTCTGTCGAAGGTGATACAGATACCCAGGATGATGGCGCGATGAGTACCCAAGATTGCAATCGGCTGCAGCTGCATAAGTATCAGATCACACAGAAGTTGCAGGTTGATGATGTCTTGGACCATCTTCTGGAGGAGAGAGTGATAAATGACAGGCAAGTCGGTTTGTTTGTTTGTTTGTTTGTTTGTTTGTTTATCTACCAGTATTTCTATCTTCTTTATAAGGATAGCTCTATTTCATTGTCTGTGTACTGCTTGTAGGCAGTCGCCATGAGCATTACATCTGGAGTTATCTTGTTTTTGGCAAACATTCCGATGTAGATCAGAATACTAATATCTCACTTCTTCCTGAGTCCAAAAGCTACTGGCCATAAACGTTAGATTCCTAATCATAGCTTGTCCAGGTACGGAGAAATGACATAGACAATAGCAGTTTCCGTAAAAACCAAACTCGTTCTATGCTTCACATGTAACTAATACATGTACATTAATAGTCGTGATGATCCGCATGTTTCAAGTTCTGCTCTTCACAAACCTAGCCTCACAATCACAAAAGACCCAAAATTTGACGGAAGCAATGTTCCGTGATTGAACTAACAGGGATGTGGGCGAAATCATGGACTCTAACGATGAGCAAAAAGCGTCCGTGCTGTTAGACATCCTCCCCAGAAGAGGTGCACGCGCCTACGACGTCTTCTACGATTCCCTGCTGCTGTGTGAGTCAACGGACTACTCGGACCTGGTCCTCGATCTGGACAGGACGGAGATGGGAGGAACAGGCCAAGGTATACTAGGAGGGGATGGAGATTCTTTAATTGTGTTCTATGTCTCCAATGAAGGACATGCATATTGTTTTTTGTTGTTTATTGTTTAAACTAACTCCATGAGTGGCAGGTCATATATGTCACACGCCATTTAGATTTCATTGGCTATTTTCTTATATTTCAAATGCCGTGATATGGATGAAGGCAAGTGCATTTTTGTCATGTATAATTAGTAAATAATTATTGTCAGATATCTACAGCCAAAGAAACAGATACAAATCTATATGAGATATTCAAGAGGTAACTCATATAATATCCGTGAATAGTTTCATCAGGTTGGTAACAATGGTAAGACACTGAGTAAAGAGCCGACGTTTCGGTGACCATCTGTCACCTTCCTCAGGGCAATTCTGTCTGGTTCACGTTGCATGTTTTGTGTGTTATGACAATTCTGTACGTTTCGAAACTCTTTGTGGATTCTGTTCCTAGTTTTCTGTACCTAGTTTTCTGTATACTTCGTGCTTTTAAATAACTGACCGCCATTATGTATGTATATCCAACTTCCGCACGTTTGAGAACGCATTGTAGATACTCCAATTACGCATATGTGTAGATATGTAAATATTGTACATTTGGGAATGCATCCATAGCAGCGACACCTGTGCTTCAGTGCAATGTGAACCAGTCAGAATTGCTCTGAGGAAGGTGGCAGACGGTCACCGAAACGTCAGCTGAATAAAAGACTTGGGCCGTGTCTAAACGGAATCACCTAAGGCGGTTTACATGTGGTTTACCCCGAAGCCGGTTTCAAGTGACTCCATCTGAACGCTCCGAAATCACATTGAAAGCGCATCGATCCCAAGCCACTTCTAGAGGTGGTTTCGAATCGGTTTCCCCGCATCGCGATTTGCGTCTGAACGCAATGTGATTTCAATGTGACTTCGCCTGGTCATGGATTACGGAGTGATATTTCTTTTTTGATATGCAATACCAACTTTTACGTGGCAGCAACTTAAAGAGCAGTAATGGTCAAATAATGTGTCCGTTCTAGGGCGAGCTTCACCGCCTCTGGCGGGACCACGTCGGCATTCGGCCGAGATACGCTGGGAGGGGGGCATCAGCAAGCAGGTCGTTGACCTCTGACATTAATAACACGCCGCCTTGCGTGTTATTATCAAACAGCAATAAATGTAGCTCAAGCGCATTATGTTCGGACACGGTTTCGCAGGTGTGTGTGGCACGTAGACCAGATGTGAGGAATGTGAGTTACCCGAATCGCGGTTTGGGTGATTCCGTATAGACACGGCCTTGGTTGTGTAAAAAAGAGTTTCTTTACTCAACTCAGATAATAACTGGCGTCACGGCATAAGGCATTGTCGAGCTACGGGCGTCATGATATACGTGTTGTTATCGTTTCCAATTTGCTGTAGCGTCTTTTTGACGCGAGGTTAGTTTCTTATTCGGGAGATATTACAGTATGACTGATAATGTTGTTATAACGTCCTTAATTTAAATTTAAGGCTGCCAATGCATGTCAGACAGTGTCGCATTACTTACTCTACTGCCCCATGCAAAACCCCAATCATGTAACTCCCCTTGGCAAACTCTCCAGGCACCTAGGACACACATTCAATTTTAATGCTCTCTCGGACAACGCTAAATCTCACTCAACAATTCATTACCGCAACAAAACGTTTTTAAAAATTTTTCTTGTATTTTTGCATTGTGTCCGTTCTTTTTACTTTTACGTACGTCATTGGGTGGAAAATTGATTCTGTGGTTCCAACACCTTTGTTTTTCTATTACTTCGTGTCACTTCGTGTCGTGTGTATTGTCAACTGTATTCTCTACACAATGGATTCCTTTTTTTATTTATCCTCACATTCTGTGTAAGTGGTAGCGTTGAAATAAGTCTTAGATACTTGAGCATGCTACCACTATGTGTTGTACTATGTTATACTGTGTGAACAATAAAAAAAACTTCCTTAAATTGACCTACTTGGCTGTTAAAAGGAAGAAAATTGAACTGGATCTCAATGACTGTTTGATTTTCCCCACCTCTCACACAGGACGTCAACCGCGGAACAGAATCCAAGTGGTCATCCGGGTGCGCCCCTTGCAGGGGAAGGGTCAGAGATGTCTGAGTGTTGACAGTAGTAAAGGGGAGGTAAGGTTTCAGGAGTTACCTGAGTTGGCCAAGAAGGTTAATGAAAAGAATAGCGTTTGCATGTACATGTATGTGGTTTAGCACGATAACTCAAGAAGGTTTGAATGGGTTGTTATAGGAAAAAGTTTATTGCAAATTCATGCCCAAGGGCTAATTGCAAGAACATGATAACAAAATAAACAAAATTAACAGTAAAAATGATAATGAGTAATGCTAATGCTACATTAGATATACATTTGTTGGGTTTGATTTCTTTTCCGTGTGCAGTGGAGTATGAAATGGCCGACATTTGGCGAGATGTATGAATTGGGAGGTATTAATAGACATGCAGTTTTTTGTAGACTGGGAAGGTGAATAAAGGTAGGGAACATGTTGGTGACCAAATAATTATCTCTTTCGGTGTTATAATGAGGGCAATGACAAATAAAGTGCATTTCATCCTCCACTGTATTTCCTGTACAATATAAAGTTATAAAACTTGTAGGTGGGAAGGTAGACCTTGGTGAGACCTCGAAATGATTGGATTTTGTTTTCCTTGGTACTGCAGTGGAATTTCCAGTTTTTATATCTCTGGACATGCTAGGGTCACCAATTTTGCATGGTAGATAGCTTTTGTGCTCGGAAAGAATTGACGTTAGTATAACCCCTTTGCAGCGCGATAACGAGCAAAGCGGTGGTGCATTGTGTAACTTATATAACGTTGAACATTTAGGCTTATATACGTTATTTACATTTCACCCATACTACATTATGGGGAAAATGTATTGTTATAGCTTCACCACACTATCTGTGGTGAAACATATTGTGTTTTCTGGTGTTTCTTCTTCTTCTCCTCCTTCTCCTGACATTTCTTTAAATGGATTCAACTCTGCCATTTTTAAGCCAAATCACCTGAATTTGGCATGGAGGTAGAGTCGGCAAATACCCCCAGACCTTTTTTTTCATAATTTGGATACAGCAGGCTTTTAAAATTGTTTTATTTGTTGTTTTTTGGCCATTTTCTGACAAAATCTGTACATTTGGAGTCCTCTGGAGACCTAGTATTACACCCCAATCATCTGAGATTTGGTATGGGTATGCTTTATATATCTACCACAATTCATTATACATTTTGGCATGCAACCCTTTAAGTAATTTGGTACTTTTGGACTGTTTTCAGGCCAAAATGCACTGTATAGTGTGGGTGCTTTGACTAATAAGACTGGAATTCGGACTTTGACTATATTTGGGCATTGGGGTAGGGGCAGGTGTCTCTGATTAGAGATGTGAGTCCTGATTGGCTGTCACTTAATTGCTTTATTTGTTAGAAGAACACCTGTGCATACTTATAAGAGGAACAATTACCTTGTTATGGGTTCACCACACCACGAAGTGGTGGTGAACCCATATTGCTTTTTCTGATGTTTCTTCTTCTTCTCCTCCTTCTCCTGCCATTTTTTAAATGGATTCAGCTTCTTCATTTTGGGGCCTAAGGACCTGAAATTTGGTATGGAGGTACAGTGGGCAAATACCCTTAGGCGTTTTTTTAATTTTTGTGATACAGGCTTTTAGAATGGTTTTATTTGAGTTTTTTGGCTGTATTATAGCAAATGTATTGCTGTGTCAGTGGGCAGTGTTAACCACATTTGGGCATGAGTCATCACAATGGAATGCAGGGCATCAACCAATAGGCATGCAGCTTTCCTCTCTTCTTCTTGCTGATTGGCTGTTGGGATTTAACTTGATTAACACCTGCACAGAGCATTTCCACCTGCACAGAGCATTTCTTGCTGATTGGCTGTTGGGATTTAACTTGATTAACACCTGCACAGAGCATTTTCCATACTGACAGTATGTCTTTATTCAAGTGTTTTGGTAGGTATTTCAAGCTTTTCTGCTCCAGCATTGGAATGCGGGGCATGAACGTTTTTTTTTTTTATTTTGAAAATCAACAGTTTGCATTATGCAATTAAAAATCCTAACCAATAAAGTAGGGAATAGCTATCCAACTGTTGTTTTAGTTGTATGTTACTTCATATTATAGTTATATCAATGTAAATCATTGTTTTCCCTTGTGTTTCTCATTCTTTCCCTGCCATGTCGTAAAATGTGGTGAACCCATCGCTGTATTTGCTCCAAAGCAAATATTGGCCTTTCTAGTTTTTTTAGAAGTACTGGCTAGGAAATAGAGTGCCTTGGGTTGTTTTCGGTGGAAACATGTCGTATAACCTACATTTTCATATACATGTACCTTGCAATCTTTAAACCATGTTTGGTTATTGGTTTTATCCAAACATAGCTCAATCGGTAAGCAGCCTGACATAACAACTAAGGCCCTGTTCATATGAAGTCAGTGAAGGCGCTTTACATGTGGTTTCACCCGAAGCCGGTTTCAAGTGGCCCCATCTGAACGCTCCAAATCACATTGAAAGCGCCTCGAACCAAAACCACTTCTAGAGGTGGTTTCGAATCGGTTTTCCCGCATCGTGATTTGCGTCTGAACGCAATGTGATTTCAATGTGACTTCGCCTGGTCATGGATCACGGGGTGATATATTCATATGCAATACCAAATTTTACGTGGCAGCAACTTAAAGAGCAGTAATGATCAAATAATGTGTCCATTCTAGGACGAGCTTCACCGCCATTGGCGGGATCACGTCGGCATTCGGCCGAGGTACATATGCTGATAGGGGGCACCAGTAAGCAGGTCGTTGACCTCTGACATCAATAAAATAATAACACGCTACCTTGCGTGTTTTCGTCAAACAGCAATGAATGCAGTTTCGGAGAATCGTGGTCGGGCACGGTTTGAAAGGAATATATATGGCACGTGGACCAGATGTAAAGAATGCGAGTCACCCGAATCGCGGTTCGGGTGGTTTCATATGAACAAGGTCTTACAAATACCCTGCTCAGACGGAATCACTCAAAGCGCTTTACATGTGGTTTCCTCCTAAGCCGGTTTCAAGTGGCCCAATCTGAACGCTCCAAATCACATTGAAAGTGTCGCCCAGCATGATCTCCTTCCCAGGATCGTCTGTGTGACGAACCCAGGTGCCAGAAGCCCTCATGCGGCAGTATAATGTATTGCACAACGCATATTCAATAGGGTTCTTTAATAGGACGCTGTGGAGGAGCGTGGCCTCTGGCGGCACCACATCGGCATTCGGCCGAGGTACACTGGGAGGGGGGTACCAGCATGCAGGTCGTTGACCTCTGACATTATTAACACGCTACCTTCTGTGTTTTCATAAAACAGCAATTAATTCCAGAAGTGAGGAATGTGAATTACCCGAATCGCGGTTCAAGCGTTTTCGTGTGAACAAGGCTAAAGTGTGGGGGTTCTTTTTTTTTTATATTCCAACATGTAATCACCAGACGTGGTGTCGGCACACTCAAGTTTTTTACCTTCGCCAAGAAGGTTATGTTTTCAGTAGCGTTTGTCTGTTTGTTTGTGGTTTAGCAAGATAACTCGAGAAGCAGTGGATGGATTGGAATGAAATTTGGTAGGTGGGTAGGTCTTCATGAGACCTAGAAATGATTAGATTTTGGGCCCCCTGGCGGCTTTCCTAGGTACTGCAGCAGAACTTCCGGTTTTGATATATTGTGATCTGGACATGCTAGGGTCACGAATTTTGGTTGGCAGATAGCTCTTAGGATAGGGAAGAAGTGACATGAGTTTGGGTCCCCTAGCGACTTGTTCTGGAACTGCAGGAGCGTTTGTTGAAAAATTTTCGAGGGAGGATAACTCAAGAACCGGTTGACGGATTGTCGTGATTTTTGGTATGTAGGTAGTTGAAGTGATGCTTGCCATAATCAAATGACAATTATGCAAATCAGGAGCTTATTTGCATAATTAATGAGGAAATTCTAGAAATCTGCTTTGTTCGATAATAGAACTATGAAACACTTGTGACATCTACTTGAGAACGAGAAAAGCATCTGAGGATATAGATTATGTAAATGAGGACCTAATTTGCATAATTAATGGCAAATTTTTATGATTTCATAGTTGTAACTGCTGGGAATTTCATACTTGCCACATTTGGAAGGTGAACATCAATAAACATAATTTATTCAAATCATGACCTCATTTGCATAATTTATGAGGAAGTACTATAATAGCCTTTTTTGTTAAGATAAGGCTGTCATTGGGTGGAGAATATGATCAACTGATATAATCCATGCAAATGAAGTGCTTATTTACAAAATCAATGATTAAAATTGTATAATTCGTCAACCGCAAGAGTTAACATCATTTGGCGAAGGTATGAGATCGTGGAACTCTTGTTCAACTTATATTAATGCCGCCACCAACACAGAGGACAAATACATGACAGGACAATACTCATTTACACCTGAGCGAAGTGGGGGTTCAAGTCCATAATTATAGTATAATTAATTAATAATACTATAATTTCATAAGCAACATAAACTAATAAAAAGCCAGGTAAGAAGTGCACAGAAGAAACATTGTCCGATACAAATCAGCATTGTTGAAGATAACGCGACCATCTTATTTCGGGGGACATAAAGAGATATAAAATCTTATTTGCAGGTGACGATTCATACAGACCAACCTGAACTGAAAAAGCATAAATTTGATGAAGTGTTCAATGAGGAGACCACACAGGAAAAGATCTATGATACCATGGCCAGCCCCATTGTTGACGCAGTACTGGAGGGGTACAACGGCTGTATTTTGTGTTATGGTGAGCTACAGACCACAAAGCATTCCATCAAGTAAAATCGTCACTAATTATATGATATATCAGGATATCTGAGAACTACATTATTAGATAGTTGACATGTTTATGTTTGAAAACATGGCACATACGTCCTTCATATGTGGTCAAACGTCTCAAAAATATACATGTGTGCCAATCATGAGTCCAAGGCAAATTGCTTGATAGCAACAATTGAATTGATACAGTTGATATCGAGATAAATCAATCCTTGTTATTGCAAATTTTAATGTAGGAAAAACTGGCTCGGGGAAGACTTACACCATGGCAGGACCATCGGATAGAGACCTGAACGAGAAAACAGAAGGCATCATCTACAGAGCGCTGAAACAGCTGTTTCTGAAGTCTCAGAAGAAACAGGAGTGGGACATTTCATTCTTCATCAGCGTGTTTGAAGTCTACGAAGAAAAGGTCACTATATAATTCTTATTTTGTCAATTACAAGGTTAATATTAACCTAAAAGTAGCACAGATATAGATGAAATAAAGTGAGAAACATATATATGCTGATCAATATCATAATTGAAGCTTCAGGTCACTTTTAACTTTATGTGGATAGCATGAATGTTCTAACAACAATAATTTTGTTTTTTAGATAAACCTTTAACAGCCTTAGGCAGCCTATAAATGCAAACCTTCATTTCGTAGGTTTATGACTTGACAGTGTCTCTGGCGGATCGTCGGCCCTTGAACATCACAGAAGACACAGATGCCAGCGTGTTCTACGCCTCGAATCTTAAGAAACACGGCATCGCCAACGCCAGGGAAGCAACGAAGGTGTTCTTCAAAGCATCACAGGCGAGACGAACACGACCCACAAAGGCCAACGACCAGAGCTCTCGCTCTCATATGGTCTTCTTGGTAAAGTAGACAATCAAATAGGCTGTGTAATCAATTATAGAACTACCTGCAAATATTAGAGCTGATTATTTATCCCATTTATTTAGTACTGAAACACACTTCACTGGAAAAATTCATAACAAGGGTGCTACGAGTATCCCATTGAATTACCAAATAGAGAATTTATGAATCTTTTTCTAGAGAACCATATAGAAAAGTTTTGGTGGTATAATGGGATAGAATTTCCTCCCTTTAGCTATCCCATGTAAAAGTAGTTTTTTTAAGACAAAACTTTTCAGTACTAAATAGATGGGATGAATAGCCAAAGCTGCAAATATTTGGTTTGTTAATGATATGTTAAATCAAGCCGCCCGACAAAGAGAGAAAATAGTGTTATACTAATGCCTTTCATATTCAATCTATCGCAAGCTGCCTGAAATAAAGTAGGAACATGCACAGATTTACTAACAATATAAAATGTACTATATCACCAGACCTACTGGAACAACAAACTTAAACGCGGATAGGTTTTTGTCATGCTTTGTCAAATGATAATCCTAGCTCCCTGGGACACAAACGATCACTCAATGGAGGCGGAGAGGTATACACTAACGTCACGTGTTTGTTTCATATCACTTCTTCTTGGTTATTTCTATTTCTATGGGGCTGTAATGGACAGTGTTATCTTTTGGTACACAGTTTCGCAACAGCAAACAGTTTTAATTATGATAATTCAGACATTAACAAAGGCTGATTCGCTGTCTAGTATATTTCGATTTAAACAAATAACGTGTTATTTACAGGAAACCTTGAAGGAGGAGAAACAGAACTGTTGTAAGGACTCATGAATCATAAAAACATGACATACGACCTATTTTCTTTTGTTTCAAATTAGGTTGAGGTGACCATTCTCCACAAAGAGGGAGCAAAACCAGGCCGCAAGGGACAGTTGTGCCTGGTGGACCTGGCAGGGAGCGAGTCGGCAACGGGAAAAGACACAGGTTTCATCAACAAGTCCCTGTTCCATCTGAAAGAGGTTATCCGATTTCTGTCTGAGAAAAAATCCAAGAATTTTATATTTAGGCTCAGCACGCTAACAAAGCTTCTCAAAACAGTCCTGGCCGGAAACTCGAGGACGGCTTTTATCATCAACGTGGATCCGTCTAAGAAGTCGCTACAACCAACACGAAGGTCACTCGAATTCGCTTCCCATGCTAAGAAGGTCCCGGCCAAGCCAAAGATCAACTACATCGCATATGAAGATCTCTGCAGGAGGTGTATATCTTTATTTGTTATCACTGTTTATTCCTTCCTTGCTTATTCGCCCTTTATACTGTCTTTCATCAGGTATGTAATGTAGTAGGTTACTAGTAGCCTTTGTCTTAGCTTATGGAAATAATTTGATGTTAGATATAGATGACGATATGTTGACATATCTATCGATTTGGACACGGCTAGACACAACATCCAACGAAAGTACTTTCCGCTTCACGAACTAAAAGCCTTATCAAGGTTTTAAAATGCCTGCACAGCGCCTATCAAAGTAATATGTTCACTCTTCAATTTCAGGTACCTGAAGGAAATCGGAAAACTAAAGAGACAGCTTAAAGCGTTGGCGGCGGGACAGTCGGAAAGTGACGAAACTGCTGTGTTGACGGAGCATGCTACAACAGCCGGCGTCGAAAAAGACCCCGAAAAGGTAAAGTTCCAAAGTGCGGTAAAAATAAAAAGATCTGTTGATACATGTACATGTAGTTCAGGCATTAAGCACCGCACATAGCCGACACTTGTGGCTTTCTCGTTCGTAATTCAATTGTCATATGCGTGCGAAGGAAACATGTAAGTCTACACAAGGAGGCTCAAATTGCTCTAAAGTAAGACATTTTAACATAATGAAAATTTATGAAATAAAGACTAAACTTTAACTGCCAACACTAAAATAAATAGGAACTTACCCCAAATTTTTGGCTGTTCACGGAATGGACTCGTCTACTCTTGGAACGTAACGTCAGAGACATAAAACACATACATCTCCGGGACACTCAGTATCTTTAGAAGGGGTTAAAATCCTCGATTCTGAATCGGACTTGTTTGCGAGGCGGTCTACATAAGAGCTCACAGACCTACCCTGAACAGAGACGGGGGGGCGACACAAGTTATCTGGCACGTATGACCCGCTAAGTACTACGGTAACGTGTCTCTGACGTCACATTCCAAGAGTAGACGGGTCCATTCCGTGAACAAGTTTGACGGATCGAGGCAGCCGAAAATTTGCGCGAGTCCCAATTCATTCCAGTGTTGGCAGTTAAAGTTTAGTCTCTATTTCATAGACTTGTACCAATACAAATGATAAAAAATTTCTTGATAATCACACGATTTTCCAAACATCATCTAACGCAGTAGAAAATATTGCAGACTTGTACCAATACAAATGATAAAAAATTTCTTGATAATCACACGATTTTCCAAACATCATCTAACGCAGTAGATTCGAAGTCCTTGTATAAGTTCGGGCATACCATAATTTTGGGATTATCAAGTGAAGCACATTTTGGAATACAGATTTCGTAGTATGAGTTAATTTGCCAAATGAGAAAGTTAATTTGCCAAATGAGAAATGGAACGAAAAGATAATCCTTTGTGAATCTTTGGATAGGGAGGCCACCAAAGATGACCACATAGCTCCGACCCTTCCCTGTCCAACTTGTTTCCCTTCCACCTTTCTAAAAGCATATCGACTGCAAATATGAAGCAAAAATTGTGCTTTGTGGACAGTCATTACCAGTTTACAGTGATACATAATTAAGGGTTAATGACCCACCCCGAGGTGAATATGGTGTGATAAAGCCTTGTCAGTTGCTATAACCACCGAATAAAGCCACCAAGTGAGCGCAGCGAACGAGGTGGCTTTATGAGGTGGTTATAGCAACTGACAAGGCTTTATCACACCATATTCACCAAGAAAGGGCGGGCCATTAACGCTATTATCATATAGCTTACACGATAGCCTATCCAAATTGATGCAGTAAGTGACACAATGTACAATTTACCCGTTGCACATGCTGAATAGAACATAGTTCCATTGCTGGAGTCACCTGAGGTCACTGGGTAGAGTTCACGTTCTATGTCTTCTATCTGGGTCACAGGCAGGGAACAGGTGTTCTTATGGGAGTCACCCGAGGTCATTGGAACACAACTCAAGTTACTTTTGGGTTTTTTAGAACTAGAGCCGTGTTCTATTGGGTCACCTGAAGTCATATGCGGGTGATTATTTGGTTGTTTAATGTATGGATTGGGATGAATAAATACCCGATTTTGACTCTATTTGTGACATTACGGCGTCATAAGGAATGTGGAATGGAGCCTTCTGATTGGTCAACGTCACCCGGCTATATGATAATTAAGGGTTAATGACCCGCCCGGAGGTGAATATGGTGTGATAAAACCTTGTCAGTTGCTATAACGCCCGAATAAAGCCACCAAGTGAGCGCAGCGAACGAGGTGGCTTTATGAGGTGGTTATAGCAACTGACAAGGCTTTATCACACCATATTCACCGAGAAAGGGCGGGCCATTAACGCTATTATCATATAGCTTACACGATAGCCTATCCAAACTGATGCAGTGAAGAGTGACACAATGTACAATTTACCCCTTGCACATGCTGAATAGAACATAGAACATAGTTCCATCTGGAGTCACCTGAGGTCACAGGGTGGGGTTCACCTTCTAACTGGGTCATAGACAGGGAACAGGTGTTCTTATGGGAGTCACCCGAGGTCATTGGAACACAACTTGTTATTTTTGGGTTTTTTAGAACTAGAGCCGTGTTCTATTGGGTCACGTGAGGTCATATGAGGGTGATTATTTGGTTGTTTAATGTATGGATGGGGATGAATAAATACTCGATTTTGACTCTATTTGTGACATTACGGCGACATAAGGAATGTGGAATGGAGCCTTCTGATTGGTCAACGTCACCCGGCTATATGATAATGAAAGTTAAAGCCCCTCAAGCTTGTTTTATATAAGGCCTAAAACGTTTTGATGCCTTTTCATAGGTTGATGCAAACGAAGTTCGTGAGCTGGTGAACTCCATCTTGACGAACACGGAGCAGGAATCTAAGGCCACGCTAGACGACCTTCTGGGCAAAGGGTTCGAAGAGATTAAGAGCGAGATCTTAGCGCAGACTACAGATCTTAAGAAGAACTTGGATGTTTCAGAAAAGTGAGTAACGAGATCTGCTATGTCCCCTTAATTACTGACTATCAAAACCTACACATAACGAACAGCAGCACCAGGCCATTATCTCCGTATACGAATTTGGGATGGGTTTATCTTGGAGGTTTTAGGTAACCAATGTTGACTGTGCGGCACCTGCTATTATATATTGATAAAGCCCAACGTCCATCACGCAGGCTACTACAGGAGGTTCACAGTACGCAACAACATGTGTTAGAACAGCTGCAGCCCAGACAGCTGCTAACCAACATCCAGGAGCGGAGAGCGGAAGAGCAGCACCACTCACGTGACGACACATCCGGTCAGCTCGATGATCACGTGCAACAGATGAATAGGACAATGGTAAAATCACGGACACTATTTTTCGCAGATGTTGGTTTTTGTAAACAATTGCACGATAGATCTATCAACCAAGAAAAAATCAATTCTTACAGCTTCACCTATGAGAAAATATCAAGCGAAACATCATCCGCATTGTGTGACATTTAGGATCTCTTTCATTATGCTAGTAATGACGGTGGCTCACAAGTACACATCTGCGTCGTCTGTGCCGAAAGAAAGCTTCCTCAGACGTGAAGTTTTTCCTGTGCAGACGACGCAGGTGTTCGGGCAAACGACGCAGGTGTTCGCGCAAACGATGCAGGTGTTCGCGCAAACGATGCAGGTGTTCGCGCAGACGATGCAGGTGTTCGAGCAAACGACGCAGCTTTTTTCCGCGCAGACGACGCAGGAGTATACTTTTGGGCCACTGTACTATTGCACTATTACTTAAGTGGAATAAATTTCTTTCGACTGTAGTTTTGTTGATGACTAATCTATCATTGAATAAAACAATGAAATATTTATCTGGTGATATTTTACAGGAGGAATTCACAACTGTGCACCGCAAGGTTGAGGAACACTTGAGGAATATCTCGGCGAACATGAAGAATGAGAGCGCTGTAAGTTTCTTTGTACGAGTATAACCACGTAAAGTTACCACTTAAACTTGCCACTACTCCAACGCACATACTGGTCCACCGACGACTGTTTTGAATAGTTGTTATGATGAGACCAAATCTATAGCTCCATCATTATCCAATTGAGGGGTAAGCGTTGCAGGTATACATGTTATTACCTCCATGAAATGTGTCATGGAGGTTATATTTTCAGTTGTGTTTATCTGTCTGTCCGTCCTTCTGTTGGTCAACAAGATAACTCAAGAACGCCTGGATGGATTGATTTCATACTTGGTTAATTGGTAGGGTGTGACGAAAACTGGAAATGATGAGATTTTGGTCCCCCTAGTGGCTTCCCTTGGTACTGCAGCGCAACTTCCGGTTTTGATATCTCGCGATCTGGACATGCTAGGGTCATGAAATTTTGATGGAAGGTAGCTCTCGTGCTTGGGAAGAAGTCATATGAGTTTGGGCCCCCTAGCGGCTTGTTCTGGAACTGCAGGGCACTTTCTGGTGAAATGTTTAAAAGCCAATAAGTCCAGACAGGAACAACATATTTTCATTATTTTTGGTGTGTAGGTAGCTGAGAGAGAGATGTACATAATTAAATGCAAATTATGCAAATGAGGACTTTATTTGCATAATTAATGAGGAAATTCTATAAGTACAGTGTTTTACATTATACTACTTACATACATGTAATGTATGTAACCTATGGCAGGCGGAACTTCAACAGATACTAATTATGCAAATGATGACCTAATTTGCATAATTAATGCGAAAATTCTATGGTTTCGTAATGGTGAATGATGAGACATCTGTAAGTTAATCAAAATTTAACATACATCACGATGCATATATCATGTTAATGCAGAGGTCATTTGCACAATTAAAGAAGAAATTTACATTTACATATCAAGATCATATTTCTTGGAGGTATGAGATCTCGGAATTCTAGTTATTTATTATTTCGAAAATTGCGACATTCACAATACAGTGGCCACCCTGGCAGCAGAGCTGATGGCGGGGGCCACAGACAGACATGACTACATGACTATACATACATTGTAGATCAACATATAAGTTATTATATTTACAACACTAATTGAAATAGGTAAACTTAGTTGGAGGTCGGAGGTCAGAGGTCGAGAATCCGTACAGTGGAAATAATAGACAAGTTATACATGTATTGAGACTATTGAGACACAAGTCCAAATCATGCCAGTAGAGACTTTTTTCACTTGATCTTACCAATAATTGCCATTGCATGCCGATGACTAGATACATGTATGTTAACTTTTACTGATTTTTAGGTCGATACTGATCAATACATTGTCTCTCCATACGTCCATGTGAAGGCAGGGGCGGCGGCAGCTGATGAACAGACGTCTCAACCCATTGATGGAGGCCAACAACAGAGGTGAATTTTTGTTTTCGTTCGTGCATGGAAAATCATAATATAATAGGTTACCTTTTTGTTCGGACAAAGTAGGTTTTAGCTGGAATTTCCTCAGTTCTTGAAAAATGTTGCTTTGAAAGAAAAGCTTGCATTCAATTGGGGTACAACATCTTTTATTCAACCAACATCAGAGTATTGTGTTTTTGTCATTCCTTTGTATACAACACCGTATGGTGTTTGACAATTCTAAAAGTTCAGGTCCCATGTAAGAGACGACGGCAAGCCTTTGTCAAACATTCACCCACCTCACACGAATTCGTTCCCCAACACCAGCGAACAGGTCGGCTGGTGTTCGGGACCAGATTTTGGCCAGTCCTACCTTTTGTATATGACTCAAAAAAACGAATTGACGTCAAATCTGATTCCTGAACACAACCTGAACATTGCTGACTTACTTTTGGTGGCTTAAGGTCGAAAACCAGCCAACTATGATCGTACCTCCCGAACGCCTCACGAATGTTTCAAATATTTTGAAACAGTCTGCTGGCGCATGGCGCAGCCGAACGCCAGCCGACCCGGCCAGCCGAACGCCAGCCGACCCACTCCTAACCATGGCTGGTGGGTGTTGGGCTAGCGTTCGGGAAGCCAAATTCGTGAATGTGTGACACATGCCAGTAGCCAAGGTCCACTTTTTATCTAAAGGTCCAAGATTTTTCTTTGAAAGATGGACTGATTCGTATCATCATCGTTGGTCCCTCACCTCAGACAGTGGGAAGAATCCCTTCATTCAAAGTCCTGGCTACGGGCATGTCACAGGGGCTTAATTACCCTGTTGAAACATGGATTCTTCCAAGAATGCCTCCCTTACCTAATCAAAAAGTCCAAGTCGTTCCCGCGCGTGCACTGGATAGGCAGACAAACAGACACTGTGTCTCCGAATACTTGTGGCCAACATAACTTAAGAAGGTATGAATGCAGTGTAATAATATTTGGTAAGGGAATAAGAACACCAAGGTCATTGTCGATTTGTCGATTTTGGTCAAGAAAAAGTAGGTTAGGTTTGGGCTCACTAGCAGGTAATTTCAACATAGCACACACGTGAGATTCTTACAGCGAAGGCTCATCCAACATGTTCGATCTTCTTTCAGAGATCACGTATCATTGAGAGAGGATGCCGGAAGCTACGAGCCACCAAGAGAAGGGGATGCTGGGAGCCACGAGCCACCAAGAGAAGGGGATGCTGGGAGCCACGAGCCACCAAGAGGAGAGGATACTGGGAGACACGAGCCACCAAGAGGAGAGGATACTGGGAGACACGAGCCACCAAGAGGAGAGGATACTGGGAGACACGAGCCACCAAGAGGAGAGGATACTGGGAGACACGAGCCACCAAGAGGAGAGGATACTGGGAGACACGAGCCACCAAGAGGAGAGGATACTGGGTATCCGTGGTATGATATGCGTGGCAAGGGTGCAGGTTGGAAGGTTTTATTGGTCATATTTTACATACTCCTCTTTCCCTTCGTGTTGTTTGTCTATTTAAAATCAGGAAAATTTCCTGGTAATCAGGTGGCCCCAGCCCCAGATGCCGGCAACCCGTAAGTGCAGCTCCGGTCCGCACAAATCTAGATGTAGTGCAATTCAATGCGGACGGTCCACTGCAAAGCTCTACAATTCAAAAGAGGATATAATTAGTCTACTAGATTGGACAAAGTAGCAGTCGCATCATACAGCAACAACATCCTGTTATAATTATCCCTAGTCCTATTATATGTACACTATTACATTAAGGTTAGTTGCAATGTCGTACTTAGTATTGTATCGCAAATAACTATTTCAAAAACACAAAAGTGGGATGATGTCAGAAATGTTAAAAATGATTTTGCAATGTATTTCTGGATATAATGTAAATGGAGCATTTCGTTGTAAATCTGTGATGAAACTTTACGAAATTTGTTTGCTTTTGTATGTTTCTTGTACTGGGTTACGTTTTGCCATGGTTATTATGTTGATGGCTGTCAAAGCCATGTTAACACGTGGGAGACTCTTACAACAGATAGAACGCTTTGGAGACAGGAAGTTAAGAAGGGGTTACATCGGGGGGGGGGTAGAGAAAAACAGAGACTCGCATCAGAACTCAAAGAGAAAACAAAGAATAAGTACATGATGTAGAAGAAGATTCTTCTTCGTGGTCTTACGAGACCGATGAAATGCCTACTGTGCTACTGTGCTGGATGTCACACATTCATAACTACAGTACATAACTACAATGTAACTCTTGTTTGATGTATTATCAATATGTGCGTGTTTTGGAATTCAAATTCTATGTTTTGTCTGAGATTATTTTCCGTTGGTGTTGTTTTCCATACAGCGAAGATTCAGAACTTACTTGTGTTAATGTGCGTAGGAACACTAGTACCTTAAGTCTTGTTTTGTTCTGCTATATATCTTATTTTTGCAATAGACTTTACATTCGCAATATCATCAGTGATCAATTACTGTTATAATAATACAATTGATGTTATCGGGTAATATCCCGGACAGGCCATAATTGCTTTTTATCTCCCCCCGCATATCTTCTTTTGTTATATGCTGTGTTTATTTTATTACTTTGATTATATGCTAATAAACAGACGTCGACAAACTAACAAGCAAGACTTACCCCAGCTCCCCACAAATATGCTTGTTTCATTTTCTCGTCGGACACTGTCGCCTGCAAAATAATTAAAAAGCGTGATAAAACGCCAGTAATGAATCCTTTTGTGTTATCGTTTTTCTTTGAATTCGTCTAATAAAAGTATGCAGAGAAAAATTATCAACATAAGTTTGATAGATGCACATTCTATATTAGCCCTCTTGGTTCTAACTGTAAATGGTTTTGGATTGGCTTAGTTAATCATATATCATTTATCTTACCGGCGAAACAAAAAGGCAGTAAAAGACATATCAATTTTATCTTAATATCTTGAATGGCGTAGTTTTATCATAGACATTACTTTTGCGTAGTTTTTTTCTTGTGTCGCTGTAATAAACGCTATTGCACTTAAGTGCAGTGTAACTTTGTCCTTGTCTATGTTTCTTTTGATTGCTGAAAATCCTAGCCCGTTATAACAATGGTCCTCACAGCCCGCGACAACAATCACGGACCGGCAACAGGTGTATTAGACAGGTACTCGTATTAAGAATGAATGAACGTTGCGTGCACGTCAATACACGGTGTCATCTCCGATATATCTACATTCATTCTGGTCGTCAAGTAGGCTGTGTTTTATCGAAGTGACTGTAGAATACGTAATAACAAATAACAATGGCGTCCTGAATGGCTGAGAAGGATTTAATAGCAAGACTCGACTGTTTTGAATGTGAGTTCTATGTCGTATCTACATGTTTGTGTTGGAATTTCAAGAAGCAATGTCGGTGATCGAATGAGGTCATACGGTGTGTTATGTTCGCGTTTCCTACCCGTGGTATATTTGATTGCATGTGCTATGACTCGGACTTGGGTCTGTGACAATTCTCCCTTGATATACTAGTGGATATCACACTTTAGCCTAGATATCTCCACACCGGCCCACCTTACCGAAAGACACTGACGACAGATAACAAGAATCTCCTGGTCACACTGAAACAAGAATAGCATGTCTACAACCTGTTTTCTTTCAACACACTCCGTACAAGAGGCACGTGTTTCGCCAGTAGTGTACTCGGGAGTCAGATTTCGTCTTCAACACCCAGTCTCCATTAGCCGGAGCGTGTTGACCAACGGCCGGGCTACCCGAGAAGAGGTGACGTGGTCGCTAAAAATAACCCGCCACTGCGCCTTGACAAGGTTCGTATTGTGAGTCCTGACACGGGCTCCAGTACGGCTGTAGCGCTAGCAACGACAATAACACAAGTTAAACCGCAGTGATTCGCTTGAGCTTTTGAGGGGATGGATGCTACATGATTACAGCTTTCTTCAGAGAGAGGACAGTGATAGTTCTTGTCTCAAGATGGATAATCGTACGTCGTCTGAGGAAGTCTCAGTCAAGGCTGATCCAAGGACGGAGTCCAGGTGAGATATTCTCCAATACAGGTGCTTTATTTGCATGCTTTCTAGTAGTCCTTTAGAATGAAGAATCATTAAATATTCATACCACATTAAGTACAGCTACCCGTTCGTCTTGAGCACTGTTGTTCCGATTTGAGATATTCTTCGCTGGACGAAGAAAAGAACTTTCCATTCATTCTGTACCGCTTGAAAAGAATACTGTGAACAATAGGTTCACTCTAGCTGCTTCATGTAAGTAGAACAAACGAAGCACTTGGTCGTTTTTGAAGTTATGAAGTAAAAAAAGGTGACAACAATACTACCAAAATATTCCTTCTGATTTGGGAAGTGGACTGTGAGTGTGAACTACATTTGATACCCCGAGCGTTATACGATACCCGTGACACACTTCTTGAGAACTGATTTTCTACCTTGTTATTGTGCCGGTCATTCTTTACTTTTGTCCACGTCAGAAAATCGGGCTATCAAAATATCTTTCTGGATTGGTCGACTTACTAACGGGCGAAAAATAAGAATATATATTTCTTGATTGGTTGAGGTATCAAAGACCAAAACTTATGTTTTTTTCGTTGGTCGACTTATTATATTGGGCCAAAAAGTTATATGTTTGATAGGTCGACTTGTTGTTACCAATATATGGTGATGGTATATATATATATATTTCAATCCTGTACTATTAAGTAGGTCGTAAAAACGTTTGACAAGTTGCCAGTTGGCATTGTTTGACTTCATTGATCACTTGTTACAGACATGATCCCGAACAAAAGGATTGTATTGTTTTGATGCGGATAAAACGTTGCCCAGATCTAAGGCCAACATGTACAAAGATACTACTAGTAGCAACAACCACAAAAACCAATGATTTGTTGAAGCATGTGTGTGCTAAACCGCTACTTACAGGGCGATCGTTATGCAGATTACGGTACAAATGTCAACATTTGAACAAAAGTCTACGTAAATGAAACGACACTCAAGAAAAGAATTTCGCTTTGGCTTGTATAAAAGTATTGTTGCAATCCATATCAAAAACTATAAGAACCCACTACAGACTTAACCGACAACAGTTCAAACAGTTACACAACCGCTGTGTCTACTGGGGCAAGGAGACCGCTATTGTAAAGTATGGGTGTGTATTAAAGGCTTATGTTTGCTCTTGACTGTTTTGTTAGAAGTATTGAAGTGGGTGCAATCGGATCAAAAGCACCGCTAAAAGCTGTTGGAAAGGGAGTCGTGACAATGCAATGCGTAACTTTACCTTCGTTCTGTTTCCATATTTTGGGAAGGTCAAGAAATTCAATAATTCAATACATGTACTACCAAAGTAAAATATTAATGTAGGCAATAAATGAACGTGAACGAAAAGCCGATCCCATGCTAGCTGAAGCAGGTAGAGAAAAAATAAGCTATTCTAAACTACAGAACACACAGACCACTTTCAGCTTTAACAAAACTCGAACTGGGCACAAAATAGAATATTAACAAACAACTTCATGAGAGGGGATAGGTTGAATACTGTATTATATAAAAAGTTATCTAAAATGGAAGTACAGTATGGACAATTGCAGGAAACAAGATTTCTGTAAGAAAATGAAATTCAATGTATGTCTTAAGTTCATTCATATGAAATATTGTTTCACAGATCAAGTTTATATGAAGATGACGCTCCTCAGTCGGCACGTAGTGATGGAGCAGATACCCCGGATGTTGGTGAGATGGATAACGAACACGTGGACAGACTGCGGCTAACACGTGATCACATCGTGATGAGGCTACAGGCTGGTCACGTGCTGGACCATCTCCTGCACGAGAGGGTCATCAGCGACAGGTACGTCTTTTTATTGTTCGTTTAGTCATTTGGCATTTATCTATTTCCTTTTCCCATCGCATCTCCATAATCGAGCTCAAAAAGGGAGATCCAAGATGGAGACCTGTTATTGAATCATGATTGTAGTTTTGTGCTGTAGAAGCAAAAGGTCTAGAAGTTGTAGCAAGTGAAACACAAGTAGAACACAAGATAAGAAAGTTCTCCTGCAGTACCAAGGAAAGACGACAGGGGGTCCAAATTGTAATCATTTCTTTGATAGGTCAAGGCATGCCCACCAACCAATCTTCTTGACAATCCATCCATATCTTCTTGAGTTCATGATGGTGCACAGTACTTCCAAACATAAATACATGCAAACGTTCACACCTCCAAACAAACGCTATTTGCTGTTTAGGCTTAGTACATGCATATATGTGTCTTTAACCCACCAACATGGCGGACACCAAATTACTTCACTGTCACGTGACTGAAAATTGACCATATATGGATTATACAGGGATGTGGACGAGATCATGGACCCTGAGAACGACGCCAAGCAGAGCGCGTCCGTACTGCTGGAGATCCTCCCCAGGAGAGGAGCGCGCGCCTTCAAGGCCTTCCGCGACTCCCTGCTGCTGTGTGAGGCCGCCGACTACTCGGACCTGGTCACCGAGCTGGACAGGGTGGTGGTGGGGGGAACAGGTGGGGACTGGAGCATCACAGGCCCTCGTACCAGGCTTAACACGATCATTGGTGGTATCTAGATACCCTGTACCTACAAGTGTACCTACTTCGCATTTCAATTGCTGTCCGATGAAAAAAAAATATTAAAACTAGAAAAGTAATGTTTACCTTCACATTGTCTAGTCCAACAAACTACTGCAGCTTTGTTTTTCCTATACATACCCATCCATATATATTTAATATGGTGACCAGCCGTTCCAACTCTGTTCTGCTGCAAAAATGTAACTCAACACCACTTGTTGCCATAGTGACAGGCATCTGGTTCAGGTCATTGACCTTATGTGTTTGGAGAAGAAGAAACCGAGCAAAACAATATGTTTTCCTTCGATGTATATAATTCATTGGGATAAAGTAATATGAGGATGGAAATTGATTCTCAGTGACCGATCGATTTTCTCCTCTTCTGATATGTAGGAATGCTGCAGAAGGACGACAGAATCCAGGTGGTCATCCGGGTGCGCCCCTTGCGGGGAGAGGAGAAAGAGCAGGAGCAGGGGTGCCTGACTGTGGACACACGTCTCATGCAGGTAAATTCTGAACTATTAACTTTGCAAAGAAAATGCATACTAGTAATGCTTACCTTCGCATATGGTCTGCTCTGTTAATTCTCTCTCAAACACATTCATATATATGGTCAGACAGGAGTCTAAACCTCTCCTGCTATAAAATTGCAACATGATGTAACCCAACATACCATGGTAAAAGACAGTCTGGTTCAGGTCATTGACCTTTTTGGTTTGGAGAAGAAGAGGAAACGTGGCAACAACAATATGTTTTCCTTCGGTTAACATATATATGATTATGAAAATCACAATATTATACTTTTTACAGGTGTCGATTCCTACAAAGAATGACGGCGTGCAGCAGTTTATCTTCAACAAAGTGTTCCCAGAGGAGACCACGCAGGCAGAGATTTTCAACACCATGGCCAGTCCCATTGTTGACGCAGTTTTGGAGGGGTACAATGGGTGTATACTGTGTTATGGTAAGCACGCAAAACCCTCATCATGATTAGCTATAGTTTTATGGCTTCTTTCTACGTTGGAAAAAATTAAAAAAGCTGACACCGAAAGCATGTCAATCTCTGTTGGTGTGAGATGACTTAAATGTCAGTTTTGCTTCGTCATTGTTCTGTCAAAGACGAGTCACATGTATCTGTGCGCAATTATGAAAGCCTATATTGCAATCTACTTCATCATAGCATCAAAATGCTCTCGAGGTGATATAGCTGCGCTACCTTGCGGTGAACCGTAGTAATGTTCTGTGCCATTGAGTTATAAGCAAAGGTAGCAGAGCAAACCACGAAATGTTGGCAGGTACGAAACACTTGACTGTGTTAGAAGAGCTAAATCGTTTGCATGGTTTGTTGTAGGAAAAACCGGCTCGGGGAAGACTTACACCATGGCAGGACCATCGGACAGAGACCTGAACGAGAAAACAGAAGGCATCATCTACAGAGCGCTGAAACAGCTGTTTCTGAAGTCACAGAAGAAACAGGACTGGAACATCGCCTTCTTCGTCAGCGTACTAGAAATCTACAACGAAAAGGTAAGTCATGATCAATGGCTCGCCATAGATCATAAATAAAGGCTATCCCTGTCCTTGGTGCTGAACACCATTCACACTAACGCTGCCATCTCCATATGTCGCCCGTATCATATGCGCGTCAAAACGAAAAGGTAATGCCTACCATATATTACAAAGTCTATCCCTGTAAAGCCTATCCCTGTCCTTGGTGCTGAACACCATTCACGCCAACACTGCCATCCCTATATGTTGCCCTATCCTAGATGCGCCAACATTTTCTGTACGGTGGACCAATCTGAAGGATAATATAGATAGAGAATGCTTCAACCTCTTTTTTTTATTAGTAGGTCACATGCCCTAATTGAGAGAACATTAGAAATAGAAGATATTTTTGTGCTGACAGTCTAAGTATCAAGAAACGAGACGGGACTAGTTTTTCAGTTGTTTTTGTGTGATTTGTAAACAGGTATTTGATCTAACGGTGCCGAGGAAGGAGCGACCGTCACTGGACATTAGAGAAGACCCGTCCAACAGTCTGTTCTTCGCCAACAACCTGGAGAAACACAACATCACCAACGCCATGGACGCCATCAGGGTGTTCTTTGAAGCATCGGCGTCCAGGAGAAGCAGGGCCACGGAGGTGAACGAACGGAGCTCCCGGTCTCATATGGTCTTCCAGGTAATGTTGCACAACGTTTGTATCAACAAACAATGTCATTTAGATATATGTATATGCAGATATTTCGTATTGACTTTCAAGAACAATTGCCGTCTAGCTCCAATCACGTCACTATTGACGTGTCTTGTTCGACATATAGCCTCACAAACTAGTCGTTGTCAACTACGAAAAGTAGAATCTTGTCAATTTGTCGCCCATTTTCAGAAAGGTTTAATCGCCTTCGTTCAAGGCGTTGTAAATTAAGGGTTGCTTATACATTCACGGTTCCCTCTCTACTGTAGGTCGTGGTGAGCATTCTCCACAAAGAAGGGACAGAATCCGGCCGTACGGGAGAGCTGTACCTGGTGGACCTGGCAGGCAGTGAGACCGCGGGGGAAGTCAACAAGGACGCCGAGGGACTCCGCGAGGGAGCCAACATCAACATGTCCCTCCTGCACCTCAAGGAAGTCATCCGGGATTTGTCCGTTAAAAACCGTCAGGATTTTAAATTCCGGCGCAGCAGTCTGACCATGCTGCTGAAGAGAGTGCTGACGGGAAATTCGAAGACGGCTTTTATCGTCAACGTGGATCCGTCTAAGAAGTCGCTGAGGGACACGCGAAGGTCACTCGATTTTGCTTCGGATGCGAAGAAGGTCAAGGTCAAGCCGAAGATCAACTACAGCCCCTTGGAGTCTCTCCTCATCAAGTATGTCTAATAGTATCAGTTCCACCATTCCTTCCTTCCTTCCTTCCCATCCATCTTAATTCCTCCGGA